AAAGGGAACCCACTGACCATGAAAAGAAAACGGAGTACAGGCGACTTCCACACAATCAGACTTGCTCCTTTTGTTTTGATGTGAAGGAACACAACTCTTTAAAAATGTTTAGACACAGCCCAGTCTACCTCGTGCAGTCTTGTAAGGGTTTGTTTCCGCACTGGACTAAAGCTAAGAGTCCACCCTGTCATGACATTATATTACTCTTTTAAAAACATTCCATCGAAATAAAATGAATTATAATCTAAGTCCATGCATGCAATCAAACCATTTTCTTCCATTTCAGAAAGAAATGTGAAATTTAAATGAACTTCCAGATACAAGTCTATAGCTTTGATCAGACACCAGAAGCTAATGTCAAAGTAGTCAGACAAGTTTCATCATGTATTTGGCCTATCCACAGAAGATAAATAATCATAATAACAACCACGTGTCTTTGAACGCATACTAACCTGCTGGAAGAAAAACATACCAGGGAATGAAAATGAAACATCCCTCTACGCTGAAACAAAACCAACAAACGCCTATCATTCTAAATAATGAATATGTTAATCCTGGGTCCTTTGGACTTGACTTGTTAAACATGACAAACCCAAGACAGCTTGCAGAAAGTAAGACAGGCTGCAAGGGAATCATGCCAACTGCATTCAGAAGACAAGAGGAAGGTACACTTCCTAAACTAAACCCACTGCCGAAAAGTCAATTCTAACTCACGGCGACCCTAGAGGACAGCGGAGCACTGTCCTGTGGCGTTTCTGCGACTTCATCTTTTAGGAGCAGGCAGCTCACCTTTCTCCAGTCTCCTCTAATCATTTGTCTCCTTAGCAGTCTAGCATCTCCAAATTGAAGGACAATTAGAAGGCTTACTTAAATCTGCCCCACACATCTCATACACCTGAAAAGAGACACCACCCCCCCAACCCACCTGTGACAAGGAGACCTAAGGATTGTGAGAGGGGCCCCCACAGAACTGCTGAACACCTATCCCAAAGGATCCCACAGAAATAATGAGCCCCCTTAGTTTTAGAATTTTTAAAAAGAAAAAGCAAATGATTAGGGAACACTGTTCTTAAAAGAGTATCACTCTACTGGGTTGTGCAACCTACTTCTACTGGCCATTCAGCTCAAGCAAGGCTCTCCTTTGTGTCAGTCCTCGTGGGGCACACTGATCAACACCCACTTCCCAGCTTCTTCTCACCCTATGCTCCCCCACCCCCGCAGTCCATTCTTGACCATCTGAACCTTGCTGGCACTGGACTGCTGTCCAACGGTCAGTAATTCAAACCCACTGGCTGCTCAGAGGAAAAAAGATTGTTTTCTACTCTTGTAAAGGTTCACAGCCTCAGAAACTCTATTTAAGGGTGCTTGGAGTTGGAATTGCCGCAATAGCAGTGGGTTTTGGGTTTGTGTGGGGGTGGGGGGTCATCCTTTACAGTTAATACTATTAATAACCCCATTTGCAAACTAATAATAATAATTCCTATTCTGTGCTGTAAATGGTCAACCACTGTGGTTCAATTGATTGCCGGTGGTCAGGTTTCTGGGACTGTAAATCCTTAAGGAAGCAGACGGCCTCTGCTTTCTCCTGTGGATCAGAGCAGCTGATGGGTTTGACCTGTCCATCCTGCAGCCAGCAGCCCAAGCCTAACCCACACAGCCAGCAGGCTTTGAGAAGCAGGGTCAAAACTGACGTTGTCAAAGGAGTCATGTCAAATTAGTATAAACTGCCAGGCTCTTACCCTAACAGAACAACAACAAATAGTACCTTATTCTGCAAAAAAAAAACAACTACAGTATAGATTGATGTGAACCATCAAGCTCAAAATATCAGCATCAATTTTTGGCTACATTAAGTATTTCAAAAATACAAAGAGCACCATCAAGTTGGAGGCATAGGGCAAGAAACCATATATTAGTTCATTCCTTATCGTTTGTATAATCTACATCCATCTGGTAGCAGTTTCCTAAAACCCACCAGCAAGAAATTACTGAAGAATGTGATGGAGTAAAAGCCCAGTCATTCCTCCACTATTTCCCCCATCACAGTGCCTCAATGTGTTCCCTAGTTGTCTTCCTGCATCTCAGGGTTAAATTGTACTCCCCCACCTCCACCCTCCCGTAGCACCAAAATCTAAACCTGCCGTCATGGTGTCAATCTACTCACAGAGATCCTACATCACAAAATACAACTGGCCCTTAAGAAAAGGGTCACATCTCTTCCTTGGAGAAGCTGGGAGGCTCAAGCTGCTGGTTGGAACCTTCTGGTTAGTAGCTGGGTGCCTTCATCAATTGCCCCCAGAGCCTCCAATAGCACAATGCCTTGAAACAACATCCAAACGGGCCCCATAATGTGACACCTTGTACCTTGCCCAGCTTCCTCTCCCTGGAATTAGGATACAGTACTTTCTTCCTCCAGATCTTAGGGTTTCACATCCGGCCATTCATCTTTTCAGAGATGTATCTGTTAGGTCTTTCTCAGCGTCAGAACTTAATGTTCACTCTCTGGCCTGCCAGCTTTCTTGGATCCTGGAGTGACCACCCAGTGCTATGTAGATGCTGTGTATTGAAGTGAGTTACAACTTTTGCCCCCCTGCACAGTCTTTTTTTTTCTTTCTAACCAGTTGCTGTCCAATAGATCTCACCCCCTGAGGAACCCACGTGTGTCAGAGTAGAATTGCATGCTGCAAAGTTTCAACCGGTTCAAATTTTATTTTTCTGAAGTAGACTGCCAGGAATTCATTTGGAAGCACCTCTGGGTGGACACAATCTCCCAATCTTTTGGTTAGCAGCCATGAGCAGTAACCATTGGCATCGTTCAGGAACTCCTAGAAATGGTTTAAAGTCTCCCCGTCATCCTTGTATTTGCCACAAAAAAGGAATTCAACAATTGCTTATTAAATTAAAACTTCCTTCTCATCTCCCAAACTTGTGAGCATCTGTAGCAATTCTCCATGATATAGTTAAGTAATAACACTATAGAAACTCCGTGGGGTAACATGAGATGTCAAAATATGAAGCCAAAAGGTAGTATAATATGGAGTGAGCAAAGCCAGAGTAGAATTTCAGACTTTAAGCCCCTAGCTTATGTTGGCATTTTTATGACAGGACATTTCACCTTTAAAATAAATCATGTTCCTTAATTATATATGCATTTTAATACCCAAAGTAATAACAATGAAGAAACAGAAAGCAAGCAGATCTTCTTGTCAGGCATGGATATTAGAATCATGACCTCACATTACATTTCAGAAGTCTCGTCATCTGGGGAACGCTTGGAGCTGGCCCCAGCAAATGACAGAGCGTGTTCTGCCCAGATTGCAACTTTTCTAACTAAGCATTTGAAAGAAGACTAAGTATTTGAAATTTCAGGCTGAATATCATTGTGTATCACAAGATGTAGCAAGTGAAATTTCACTTTCTTTGGATTTTTACCAAATCTAACAGTCAAACTAGAGGCAGCAGAAACTTCTTCGAAACTATTAGGTCCACATAAAAATAGAAATTTCAAAATGCAGGCTATTGAAAGGGCTGCCAATCGCATGGCCCACCTGTCAGCCCCCCCATCAGCAACCAGGACACTATCCTTCTTCCTGAGTCCCTGCAGCACTGGGC